AGAGAGAGAGAGAGAAAGAGAAAAAATAATATACATACATATATATACGAATTCACGAAAGTGAAATTCTTTTACGAGGAAAGAAAATAATTATAATAATGATAATGTTAATGATAAATTAATGATAACGATAAAATAAACAAATAATATTATTAATGATAATGATAATGATAAAAGAAAAGAACATTAGATATTTATATTTTCTCTTATTACTCGGATAATGATGAAAGCTTTCGAGTGTATTATTAATTATTGTCAAAAGAAAAAAAATTATTAACGACGACAATTCTCTTGATGACGATTTAATCTGACTTAAAAAAAATAAAATCAAGACAACACTATGTTTATAATAAAACAATGATTTCGTAACGATTTATAATACGAAAGAAAAAGAAAAAAGAATTGGTCACGTTGTCTTTTTCTCTCACGACACTTAATTACGTATGTATGTATGCATTTGTGTACGTGCGTTTCGATAATCATTCGATTCAAATAATGCAATGCAACAAAAGGAATGAAACGAAAAAAAAAAGAAAAAAAAGAAAAAAAAAAATCAACAATAACTAACAGAAAGAAAGCAAAGAAAAAAATAAAATAAAAGATATTATTTTATTTAAAATATATAAATCAGAATAACTATGCGTAAACACACATGTACACACACACACACACACGAGCGTATACACATCACAAATAAACAAACATATATTCAAATCACATCATACGGCCTGCATCGATATAATAATATAAATCAAATCTTCAAGACGATATTTCGATAATAATTCGGTATAATAATTAATGAGATTATTTATCCTTTTTATTTTTTATTTATGAATTTTTGTATTTTCTAGCCCCTTCTCTTACGTGTACCCTCTTACCCTCTTAACATCTCCTACTTTTTACTCTTCCATATGTTAACGCGTTCAATACGTGAAATATTAATAATAATAGTTATAATAATAAAGGTTGAGAGCGATATGAATTAAGTGGTTTTTTTGTCGATCAAGTTTTTTTCAACAAACGTGTATTTTTGCGTACTACCATTTTTACTAGTGTGTTTGTTTTTTACTAAACAACTCCCCAACCCAATATCAACCCTCAGCCCCATTTTTGCACTCAGCGATCCATTTCTTCGAATTTGTTTTCTCTTCTTTTTACACACATGACATCAATTAATATATATATATATATATATATATATATATATAAATAAATGAAAAAAAGGAAAGGAAGAGAAAGAGAGAAAGAAAGAAGCATATGTAGAAAGTAAAGAAAGTAGAAAAAAAAAGATAAATCACAAATAAAAAAAAGAAAGATAGACAGAAGGAAGAATATATCGAAAAACATTGCCGTTCGTTCGAGAGGGAAGCGCACGCCATGCTTGTCGTTCCTCACGTTTCGTTGGCAGAGTGAAAAAAAGAGAAAAAGAGGAAGAAATAGAAAACAGATATTACAGATGGAAAAAAAAATGATAAAGAGAGAAAGAGTTATCCCATGTCGATTAGCAGCTAGGAGACGCTTTGTCGGCGCTCGCTCTTCGAAACCGACCGTGAAGCCACGCGGTCAGAAGCGGCGAACTAGTCACGAGAAAACACTGTGCGCTTTGGTTCTTTGCATTCTCCAAAGTTAAAGTTGAGAATGAAAGACAGAAAAAGAGAGAGCTAGAATCTTGTTGAGAGACCATGCTCTTGTTTCTCTATACTAACAAGAACTATGATTACTATGATGACAATTATGACGACGATGACGATAGTGATGGTGATGATGATGGGGATGATGATGATTTTAATGATGATAATGATGATGATGATATTAATGATGATGATGATGATGATGATGATGATGATGATGATGATGATGATGATGATGACGATACGATGACGAAGATGAAGAAGAAGACGACGATGATATGATGATGATGATGATCATTACAATATCACTATGACGACGACGAAGACGAGGATATTCGTATATAATTCTATCTTTCTCTTTCTTTCCTACAAAGCATCTACTATATCTTTGTTTTTCACACGTAAACTTCTCCTCGAAAGTACACGCACATATCATCATCATGATCATCATGATCATAAAGAAACACGTAGTATATCTTGAACAAGATCATGTTTCTATTTGATTATCTTTCTATTTCTATTTTACACGCTTTAGGTTAAACACATTTGGTAAATATATATATATATGAAAAGAAAAAGAAAAGAAAGGAAGCAACGTAAGGCACGCAACGCAACGCAACGTAGCGCAGCACAACGCAACGGAACGCAACGCAACGCGCAATAAAATAAATATATAGTTTATTAAATTCGGCTTACTTCGGCAGGTTTTCTGCCCCGCTTCTCAAGATTAATCCGTTTTTCCATGACCGGTAGATCCTCTTCTCTTTGATAAATTTCCTCAACACCAGCTCTCTCTCACTGCACCTTCTCTCTCCTGCGTCGCAACAACTACCCGCAACCTTGCTTTCAAACCGGGAATATGACGGACGGACAGCCACGATCGGTCACTACCACTTGGACAGAGCTACCAGCGTTACTGTGGAGCCAACCCAACGGCGGTTCGATTCTGTGCCCTAGGCCCCTATACTTCTCTTCCACTCTTTCTTTCTTTCTATCTTTCTATCTATCTATCTATCTATCTATCTATTTCTCTTTCTTTCCTTCCTTTCTTCTTTCTCTATCTATCTTACTCTCCCTTCTCACCCTCTCTTATTCTTTCGGCCTAACATTATCTCTTTCCATCGAAACTCTGTCTCCTTTTTACTCTTAAATACGGAGTAATACTTGTCCCCCACGCGACACCAGCCGACAAGGTGGGAAACGAACACATGCTGGAACTACTTTCAAAACCACCAATCACCTACCTCCGTTCTCGAGCCCCCTGATCGACGCGACGCCTAGCAGCACAATTCACATACTCCTAAATTCTCTATATTTCCTTTTCTCGTTAGGCACACTTTTTGAATTCTCTTATTATTTATATAGTCTTATTTTATCTCTTTGAATTTTTAACAATTCATCAAACCTCACAATTTAATACAAATATTTGTGTGATTATATTATTTGTCTTCTTTCTTTTCTTATTTTCTTTATAACTATCTTTTCGAATATAATTTCGATCGAATTGAATTGTATTTCAAACTTTCAATCGAATGACATAATCGTTCTGATCCATTGCGGTTTATAATCACAATTTGTATTTTTTTTTTACAAATGTTTTTTTTTTGTTTAAAACATTAGACGTAAAGAATTTTTAATACGAATTCTTTGATCAGGGATTATTGTAGGAAATGTTGAGGAAAAAAAAGTAAATAAATCTATCAAACGTTATCCTCTAATTTTGATTTGAAATATAAGCAATACCTACGTCCCTATGTATACGTAGTTGATTCCTCATGAAGGGTTGAGAGATCAATATGCGTTCATTGATTGCACCGGTAGCTCTACTGCGTCGGCTTCGTCGTTACCTTCTTTCTTAACCGTTAAATACGAAATACCTACTTACCTATCTACTACTTTACATCCTAACATACATTTCCATCTAATTTACATCGGAAATATTTCCAATATAAATCTGACTACTATTTTCGTTCCTAGAAAAACAGTAGCCATCTTGTTTTTACATTCAAATTATTAAATGCGTTCAAAAAATTAATTGAAATACAAATTGTTCTCTACGTTATTGTCATGCGATAGGATTATCTTTTATTTGTTTATTCGTTTTTTTTTTGTGAAACAATGTACCATTGTCGGTAATAAATTTCCGCAAGTTTCTAACCTCTAATTTTTAAACTCATTTATGTCTTTGAAACGGATTAGTAAAACTAAAAGGGTATTCGAACATTTGTAAGTATTCATCTTGTCAATATAATGTATATGTATTATGTTATCAATAAGATATATCATTTTAGAATGATATCTAAGATTCAATTATATGCAATTAATGAAAACGTTAGTTTATTAATGGTTATATTTGGAAATAAGATCGTTAATTGACCTTACACTGAAGCGTAGTATTATATGACTAACTGTAAAAATAGATTCTCATTTATTAGTCGTCATCTTTCTTTAGATTATCAACTTGAGCACTACTATGTCAAGTGCATCATACGATTTCAAATTTAAAGATAGAACAATAATCGATTTTTTTACAAATCGATTTAACTGAAATTCTAAAAGTTGTATTAACTAAATAAATAAGTAGAAACTATTTTATTTTGTACAAAAATATTATATATGTATGCATATGCAAATTTATTGTAAATATTTGTATATCGTGTGAAATTAAATTAAAACGATTGGATTTAACTTACAAAATATCGACAATTTTTACCATAGGAAAAACTAAAATTCATTTTACCTCGTACATTAAATCATTAAATTGTTAGAAGAAAATGAAATAAATATTTTGTATTTAACGTAAAAGATTTAATTTTGTATTTTTGTCGTATCACGAATTGGATCTTTTCTTCTTGTTTAAAAATGAAATTATAACGCTAAAATGGAGTATATAAAGGATTATAATCTAATTATTTTTATCTCAACTAAAAATTATTTTATATTAATACAGCAGACAGTATGTTTTTAAATTCATTAAATTTGAATGAATATTATTTACAATGCCGTGTTTCGTAGGATCTCGTCTTGCAACAAAAAATATGAACAATAATGTATGTATTAAAATATATACAAAAAAAAAAAAAAAAAAAAAAAAATAGTAATTATAATAAAAATAAACGCTTGATAATTGTAGTTCAACGACGATGCAGAAATTACAAAAATTATATATATTCATTATTTACATTACTACAGTATTTAATTGTAAGCTCTTCAATGTATGTATTTTTTAAATAAATTCTTTACATAAGTACTGATGGATAATTCCGATAAAATTACGAAGTGAAATAAAATAAAAAAAAAAAAAGAAAATTAAAAGAAGAAGAAAAAAGAAATTTAAAAATAAAAAGACATTCGTTCAATTAATTACATATGTAAAATCTTTGATTTTGTACATCGTCTCATAATGCACTGTATGCATTACATAAAAAAAGAAAAGAGGATTAAACGCGTTCGAAATTTTTAATTTGACTAAAAATTTGGATTAATGTTTGTCATTGTCTATTTACAAAGGTAGCCGCTGATCCCAAACTAGTAACATGTTCAGCAAACAATTTTTTACGTTTAATATACTGTGGAGGCGCTGCCCTTATTTGTATATGACAAACAGTCTTGGTTTTGTTATCCTGAACAATACCTTTTAAATTTTGCTTCTTACCTAAGACATTAGATTCCAAAGAGGAATTTTTTCGCTTGTGATGATGATAATGATAATGATGATGAGGATTATTTATTTCTTGTTTCACTGGTGCAAAAAAGGAGCGAGTTTTACGTGGTTGGTAATCCGGTGTTGCCTGCATCCTTTCTAGCGCTGTACGCAAAGGTAACAAACCAACCGCAAACGGGATTTCACCGTTTGGTCTGTAATCGGCTAAATCCATGATATCACTGCTATGTTCTATGATATCCGACATGTCGCCCCATAAAGCTCGATTGATTCGTCCTACATTGTTTTGTTGGAAATGAGACGGCAATTCCATAGATATGTTCATCTTATCTATGTCGTTATTGTTCGTCGTCATTTCGCACTTAACTTTGTTACTCGCTTTAGATTTTTGGTCGGATTTATTGATGGTCTTCTTGATTTGAGTTTTGGAAGAATTTTTGGTAGAGTGCAGCTTGTTAAAACATTTTTTATTATATCGTGTAATATTATTGACGTTTTGATCCATTGCTTTTCGACTATTTTTTTTTCTCTTACGTTTTCTTGTAGAGAAAGATTCCATTTTGCTGGGAATATTAGTTTTATCTAAAAGTTTCTTAGTTACTATAGATTTTTTTAAAGATATAGCATTGTTGGTTAAATCTTCACTTTCTTGTTGGTTCAATCTGACGCTTCTTCTAAGAACCGGTTTTTCTATTTTTTGTACTTTGTCGTTTATGACTTGAAAATTAAAATCTTTCTTATTAACATTATTTTTATGTATACTAAAGATATTAGTATTTTCATTAAAATCCTTACATTTCATTAACGATCGTTGCTCGTTTATCATACCTTCTGCCACAGATTGCATATATTCATTATCCAAACCAAAATGATATTCGGCGCAATCCATATCCAAGGGTGTTAATAGTGTAACCGGTATACTATTACTAGATTGCATATCCGATAAATCAATAGAATTAGTAGAAGATAATTTTGATATCAAATTGTTTAGATGCGTTAATTCATTCTTTGTATTGATCACTGGTTTACGCTTTTTATGCGTATAAACTTTGATACATTTACCTATTTTATCAGGCGTATTGTCGATCACATTTTGTGTGGCATCTAATTTAATATCTTGGACACACTGCGGCAAGGTTGTTGAATATTTCTTAGATACTGTTAAATCTAAAACATCACAGCACTGTTCATATAATAAAGGTTTAATTTCTTTACTTTTATCTAAAGTTTCATCATTTATCTTAACATTATTCATTTTTATGTAATTATTTAATCTTTCCTTCTCGTATATTGATTTATTATATGATTCGTCTTGAATATTTTCTTTATGATCTTTCATTAATAAATTCTCCCTTAACGAAGATTCTACTTCATTTTTACATATATCTAAAATTTCGTCTTTTTTTTTCTTATTACTCATCTTCATACAATTCTCTATCCCTTCTTTGTTCCTTATTAATATAGCGCACAACTTATCTTGTGTTTCTTCTTTAAAATCTTCCGTTAATAAAGTATTCGTAGAGTTATTCTGTTGTACGTTGGTACTTTCGTTATCATACGAATCTTCGTATAACGTGTGCTTAAAAGTATTATCAAAATTATGTTTTGTACTAGTTAGATCATTTTTTGCGTTAACGCAACAATATTTTTCAAGGTTATTATTATTTTTTACGTATAATTCATTATCACTTTTATGCAATAGAGTTACGCTTTCATTAGTGTTGTTATAATTTTTTGTTTTCATTACCGTGTCTATTATACATGTTAACTCCTTTACCTAAATAAATGAAAAAAGAAATATTAGTTGTTGATATTATTTGATATTAGTAAATAAACAAGACGTAAATATATTATTTATAGACAGTTGACATAAATCTTGATTTTTCGTTTTTTAAATGAAAACATAGTAAACATGAATTGACGTTGTTATGCAAAAAGATTAAAAATTTGGATTTATAACCCAGTTAAAATTTTTAATTCATAAGATTCAAGATTAATAATTACCATATTAAAAATTATTATTAGCTTCATCGATAGTTGCACCAATCAATTTTTAATAAAATATTTACAATACTTCAAAAATAGTATTATATTAATATTTTTAGTTATATTTTGTTGTGTATTTATATTTCACATATAAATCACAAATGCATAGGAATCAAGACTCAATCAACTTCACAATGTACACAATATGTTAACTCATTTAAATAAATAAAACTTTTACTTTGAAAATTCTTGAAGCAGTTAACAAAGATGGCAAATTTTCATGAGATATAGTCGTTCCTCCGCAATACATAAATTCAACCATCGCCTTCAATACTTTAAAACTTAAATCTCTGAGTAAGATTATAGGTTCTTGTCCCAGGTCTTGTTGCAGTATTTTCTATAGTATAAAATAAATAATGTTTTAAAAGCAATAATCATTTACAATTATTTTATACAAATGAAAATTATTATTCGATTATAAAGGTTATAGAAAAATGATTCATGAATATATATATTATATATTTTCTCGCATATATCATTTTAATCCCTTACACTATAATTTAACACACATGCCAAAGTCTGTGCTATATTTCGTGCTTCTTCATATGTTTGATCTATAAAACTCACTATGATTAGGACTCGTGTTTGGGTCATAAAGTGTATTAAGAGTCTCATGCGTTGTTATAGTGCAAGAGGTTAATGACTCATCTTTTACGTCGATATTTATATGCAACTTAATATTATTTAATTTAATTATATGATACGTTAAAATTTTTATATTTGAATTAAATACCCATAGAGATAGATTGACGACAATAAATTCTCTATACGAATTAAAAATTATCCGAAATCCTAGAAATGGTGGTTTTATAATTTCTACTATCCTATACAAAAAGAAATTTGTTTGAATGTATATATATATATTTATATACACATATATATTATTTGACGATAGAGAAAGAACTTCATGCAAGTTGTGCTTGAATATTTACATCTAATCGATATTATATCGATAAATAAAATATTAAACATGTGCACGCACACCCTTAAATAAAACGCATACTTTGATATGCACGTTTGTCGATTATATCCCTAATTTATGTAAGTTGGTTACTTAATACCTTTCAAAGGAACTGCTGTTCTTCAAAAATGTGAAAAGTATGCCCCACCAAACTCAGTTTCCTCAAATGTTTGTAAAGAAAAATAAATTTCCAATAGACAGGGCTTTCTTTAGTTTATACGAATTTTCTATAACCCCTGTAAAATTGGTCTACCGTAAATATTTCTGCACATATTCTAACGTCGCAGTAAAGAGAGATAAAAAGAGAGAAAGACAGAGAGTATATATATCTGCGTTCTTATAAAAATATATTTTATCTTCATAAGAACTTTATATACTGAATATGTTTGTACATATGTATGAATGTGCGTATATTCGGTCCTTTTATACGTCAAAATCCCATGGTCGGTTGCAATGAAACATTACTGGTTTGCTCAAAATAAAATGAACTGAAATTCATATAAATTTTACATAAATACAGAAAGAGTTTTGTATATACAAAATGTGAGAAAGAACGTACAAATTTTTGTCAACTCATTAATAAATAATGAATGAAGAATTCAATCGGTTAAACGGATTAACGAATATAATTTCAAGAAAGAATTGATGCGATAATGATCATAATATTTCAAAGCGCATTAAAGTTAATACGCATGCGAAGCTAATTCAAGTTCCTACCTAATTTTACGATACAACTTTATATTTTTCTTTTTTATTTGCATTTGTAAACATATACCATTAAAACAATTTTTGTTAATGGATCAACAATTAAACTTCTGAAATATGAATTACTTATTACAATTGTAAAGATATATTAGATAAGGTTATGAAACTCAGAAATCAAACGAGACAAGATATTATAGAATACATTAATATTCTTAGAAATAATATTTGTATTGGTTTACCTCAAAGTATGTGCTATTGGAAGCTAAAACCAGTTTATGCACACGAAGCTTTTGATCTTCACACATAAGAGTAATGTCTACGAGTGCTTGACTTGCCAATAACTCACTGAATCTTTCGGTTACATATCCTGGATGACCTGACCATTTCAGGACACAATGATTAGTATTTTCAACCATGATTATAACTGTTAACAGAAATTTAAGATTATTTTCTTTTCACAACAATGAATTAGAAAATGGATGAAAAAATTATTAACCTCACTTACCTATAAAAATTATTTAAATTTAATATTAATCAAAATGTTGATTTTCCTCTGTCTCGTATAGATTGAAAAAAACCACGAAATCGTTTGATGAGACGTATGTGATCGACTAAGTTCGTTGCATTCCAATATGTCTCACTTATACATTTTCTAACGATATTCATTAAACGATACTGTGCTAAATTACCTCCTAGGTTTATTATTTTACAAAACATTGGTTTTACGAATGCACGAGAAAATGCTTATCTTACTTGATGCAGTCTTCGAATCAAAATCTAGCCATCTTAATCCGTATTATTACATACGGTATTATAACCATACATTAGCGACATAGGTGATACGAAATGGCGTCTCTAGTTTAATCGAGAAGTAATCCAGAAATTTCTATATTAAATTTAAATATTATAATAGAAAGTGATAAATATTATTATTGTCATCGATATATTAATCATTGAATAATATATATGATTTTATTTTTATTTATATTTTAATATTATGAATAATAAAACGGTGCTAAGATTCGGAAAAACTAGTGAAATTGTGACGATCAATCACAGCGTTCGACCAATCGAATTAAGTTTATTGTTCGATACATGAAAACACTGTCTTAACCTTACTTCTTAAGAACGTTTAGTATTTGTAGTTAAATTTTACGTTTCTCAATTTAACTATCACGTTATGTATATATTAAAACATCATTAAATTAAAATTAAACGCGGGCTTCCTTTAAACCTCGATGTATTCGAGTTACTGACAATTATCCTCTCTTATAGAATAATATATCAAGTGTCAAACGAGACGTCAAATATACGAAGGTTGGTATATTTTTTTCCTTTAACAATATTAAATACGAGCGCATTCTTTTTATTTCGTATATGTTAATTATTCTCTAACGTTTCATATTTATTTTATACATTTTGTAATGGATTAGCGTGTTATCATTTATAAATAAAAATGATTTTTACCATAAGCATATATATATATATAAATTGGATCTATTTTTTTCTTAATTAATTTGAACGATTAGCAGATGGTGCAAAATTGCTTTTAATTGTTAGTAGAATTTTTAATCGATATTTCTTTTCTTCTTGTTTCACCAATTTCATCACGCGAAATTTTTGTTTTATCTTGATGTTTTTTATCTCTATCTCTTTTTAATTATTTTTTCCCCTCTCTCCTTCTCACCATTTGTCAGTGTTATTCCTATTACGATGATCTAAAAAGAGCCACGACTCCAGTAATTGACGTCAACGCCAGCGAATTAGTTGTCACGTGTAATATTTTCTTTAGCTTGGTAATACTTTATCTTTAAAAAAGAAATCTGAATTTTTTTTCTTAGGCTTATCTCTATTTTAAATATTGAGATTATCTTGTCTTACGCGTATATCTATACAGAAGATTCTAGCGCGATTGAGATAAGGCAAGTATAAACTCCACTTGTCCAGTTTTCTGTTATTTCAACAAGCAGATACTTGCGATTATTTAAATAAGAAGATATTTTATTGAAATTTTTGTGCTATACATTATTCATCGCTTCAAAAATTCTACTTTAATTTATACATGAGTATATTTATTTAAATATGAATTTATTTATATTAGATTATTGTATATTTATTTCAATTTTTTTTATTTATTTATAGGAAATATGGATTGGTTTTTAAGTTTTTTCGTATGCGGTCTGTTGGTGCAAGTAATCGTTGCACCTCCAGTGACCAAAGACAAAGCTAATGAAGATCATAAGGAGAAAGAAAGTCAGGTAAGAAAAATAAAATGATAATAAAGGTAACAATATAGCGGTTTAGAATACATATAATTAAATAGGGTGTCCTCTAACTGGTGGTACAAGGGAGTAGGAGATGATTCTACATAAAAATCTAAGTTGGTAATGTAGAATGACATTTGTTTATACAAAGCTGTTTTTGAGAAAAATAAATTCTAAAATGTAAATTTAGTATGCGTGCACTTGATTCATTTTCAGCTCGATAGATTTCACTATCTTAACAATGCTTTTAGTGTCTAGGATTATAAGCTTTGACAAGTACTCACTTGTATCACCAGTTACAGGACACCTTGTATACACATTTTAATATTATTAAAAATGTCTATGGGTTTTATTCGTAGCCAGAGATGGAATATCATAGATATTTGAAGGAAGTCGTGGATGCCTTAGAAAGTGATCCAGATTTTCGTGCAAAACTTGAAAAAGCCAATGAGGAGGATATACGTGTAAGTGATTTATAATGATCGGTCTGAATGCATGAATTATTGATTTATATATTTAAAAATTATATATTAGACAGGAAAAATAGCTCATGAATTAGAATTTGTGAACCATAGAATAAGAACTAAATTGGATGAATTGAAACGAGAAGAATTGGAACGTTTGAGGCATCTTGCAATAAAGGAGAATCAGTTGAACAATGGTTTGGATCTTAAACATTTAAAGATAGCCGAACATTTAGATCATACTAATTCGCGCTCGTTTGAAATCAACGATTTGAAGAAACTAATAGCTAAGGTTTGTTGCATAACACTATTGATTTAATTTTTTAGTATATCATGGTACAAGTTTCTTAATCGTTCGATTATTTATCTTAGACGACAGAAGATTTAGAGGAAGCTGACAGACATAGACGTGAACAATTTAAGGAATATGAAATGCAAAAGAAATTCAATGAAGAGCAAAAATTGAAGGGTAATATTTGTCTATTTTTTGTTACTATAAGATTTTTAAAAATATACATATTCATGCAAGTTCTTATATTTGTAGCTATGAACGAGAAAGAAAAAGAACAGTATGTAAAACAAATTCAAGAATTAAAAGAGAAAAGCAAAAAGCATGTTCCTGTAAGTTTTCTATAATAATATAATGATATGAAATAGAATTAGCTATGTTGTTATAAATACGATTATTACCAGTTACACCATCCAGGCAGTAAGGGTCAGTTAGAAGATGTATGGACCGAGCAAGACGATATGAGTAGCGAAGATTTTGATCTTAAAAAATTCTTTTATATTCATGGTAAGTAAAATAATGTTCAAATTATATTTATAAATTAATCTGAATAATACGAGTGCGTATTTTTATCATTGATCTTTTTATTTTCCAGACGTTGATAATAACGGTGTTTGGGATCAGAACGAAGTAAAAGCTCTATTTTTAAAAGATTTGGATAAATTGTATGGCAAAGATGCAACGATAAGTGATCCTCTTGAAAAGGAAGAAGAAATGGAAAGAATGAGAGAGCATGTATTTAACGAAGCTGACCTTAACAAGGATGGTCTCATAAGGTATTATTTATATTAAGTTTATTGAAACTTACAATGCTATATATTTAAACAATCAATGTTGTTCCGTTCACAGCTATTCAGAGTTTTTGGAACAAGCCAAGAAACCAGATTTCCAAGAAGATCCAGGATGGGAAACATTGGGCGAACAAGAAATTTTTACTAAAGAAGAATATGAGGCTTATAACAAACGTGTGCAAGAAATGGTAAGTGAACAATAGCTTGAATAAGATTTTTATTACAATAAATATATTGATTTCTTCTTGTATGGAAGATTAATATTCAGTGCGGGTTACTTAGAAAATTATTTTCTTTTGAATATTGGAGATGCAATTAGAATGTTCTTTACTTTTCTTGCTTTAATTTTTAATATGTTTCTTTTCTATTTGTAATAGTGTTTTATTTCTTAACAAAGCACGAACACAATTTATTTTGTTTAGTTTTTATTTGTAGTATTTAGAAAAATTAATATAGCTTGCACACACGCATGTTTTGGTTTTGTTACCAGCTACAAAAGGAGCATGGTAATGCACCTCTACACGATCAACAGGTGAGCTTTCCTCGCATCCTTGATGTACTAGTAAAATGCATAATTAAAGTCCTTTTGAAATAAGATAAACAGTTTTATTTTATTTTTTATAAAAGCGTATTTAAAAAATTGAATGAAACGAGAATACAAATTTGTTTTCTTCTAGTTACCACCACAACATATGCCCGTACTACAACAACAAGTTGGCAACAATCAAGTTAATCAACAACAGTATCAGTATCAAGGACAACCGGTTCAACAGCAATATAATCCGCAACAAATTCCAGTACAGCAACAACATTACCAAGGCCAAGTACCAATCCAACAACAACCGCATTATCAACTGCAACAACAGCATTTGGAACAACAGCAGTATCAAGGACAGATGATGGCTCAAAATGGACAATTTCATGGACAGATACAATCTAATCAGATACCAATACAACATCAACAAATACAACAAGCGCAGCAAATCCAACAACAACAACAACAACAACAGCAATATCAGCCACAGCAGCAACAACAAAATATTCCAAATACGATATCGCAGCAGCAACATGTTCAAAATCAAATACCATCGGTCCCAGAACAAAACAAGGAGAATCCTGTGGTACAACAAAGTCTACCGTCGGCTGCCAATTCCGCACAACAAATTCAATCAAATAGCATAAACAATGCTGGAAAAGTTTAATCTATATACATACATATATATATGTAAAATTCGACACGTTTTGGCTATATACTTGAATGACTTCAGTATTAATCAGAGATTTTCCAAGATCGTCTTTTAGTTCGGAAACTAAAAAAAAAAGGAAAAAAAAAAAACCAAAAAAAAACAAAAAAGATATCACAATTTTACAAATATGACAAAAAAATTTAACTAATTTGTAGATATTTATTAATTATTGTTAAAAGAAATTTATGATTTTACAGTGAGACGTGTAAAAATGTTGTTTTTATCGATGACTAATCGTTAAAATAAAATAAAATTTTACTTAATTAAATTACTGGGCATAAAAGCAATTTTGTTTCAAGTGTAAAAGAAATATAGTTTCTTTTCTTTCTTCTTATTCTTTTCCAATAAATAATTTATGTATAATTCCTATCTCGGTTGTTATATTGACTTTCGAACGCTTGACCTGTACTACTTAAACGTCCGATCGTATAAGAGCGATCCGCTTGCATTACTTAAACGTCTGACCTACGAGTAATTTACTTATACTACTTAATGTCTGACCATATATACTGGCGCCCGAGATCCGTACTATTTAAATGTTTGACCATGAACGAGTGTGATTGACTCTTACTACTGAAGATCCTTATGACCTAGAATTCAATTTTTTATTTGAAAAATTGAATTTTTTTTCTGTCGCATAAACGTGCCAATACGTACCTGTGATGTATATTTGTGGATAATCGTACGCGAAAATCTTTTCAGTATTATAATATTTTTATAATTCTTTTCCTTTTTCAATTCCAAATCGCTGGTAACTCAACTAAATAGTTCTTTTTTTACACAGAAACAAATCCGAAAGATTTTAACTGATAAAAAAAATTAATTATGCCTTTTAGGCTCTTTAGAATTCCAATTAGGTTTCAGATTTTAATATTATAGTTTTGTAATTAGAAAGAGAAAATTAGCCAACAAAAGTTTCGACGAAATTATAATTGATTTTTAAAATCACGTAAGTTTCTGATTCGATATTTTTAAAGGATATTTTCATTAACTTATGTAGTCATGTTGAAATAGAAAAAATT